ATTGCCATATTCGTATCAGCGTTCATATACGTGTTAATGTTCGAATTAATACTAGTATTAGCTCTTTTTACACCTCCAGAGCCCTCCTACACCTCCAGAGCCCTCCCACGTTCGGGGGACTGAGACTTTCTTTCTCCAGGGCCTAAGGGTCCGGTCAAGACCTCCTCCATCTCGATCTCTATCTCTCTCTCTCTCTCTCTCTCTCGCTAAGCTGGGGCGAACCGGACATTTGACTCATGCTACTCCAAACTCGAAGCCCAGGATGCTGAACACTTGCCGTGCTTACCAGCACGACATCTGACGTCACCTCAGCCCTATTCAACTCAACCCCCAGAAAGGGAAATCCTCCGAAAAAAGGCTCACCCCAGATACCACACCTCGGTGAGCACTTCCGCGCGCACCTCAGCCGCCCGCAGCGCACGGGCCTGCGGCTTCCCAAGTGACATCACATGACACTTCAGGCTAGTCCTATTTAGATTTAAAGGAGTAGCATGGGGTGCACGCTTCACCAAAATTTTAGCGCTGTGCAGTTAGTTACCTGTGGGGCATGAAGGAGGGACTCGGCACGAGCTTGCACAGCCTGACAGCAAGACCGAAGACAAGGCGCTTGCCACTAGACAGAGACGACGACTATATGCACAAGCTTGACGCGACACATACATGCAGTCTGCTCTTGCATTTCCAACACCTTTGCCACGTTCTCGTCGGTGGCAAACCCAACGCCAAGGGCCAAGGGCCGATATGGTGAATTCCTGAGTGGCAATTGCGGATTGTGGCAGTCGAAAATCCGAAGTTGCTAAGGCTCTGAGGTCCGTACTCTCCCCTCTTGTCATCTTTTCCTTTCCGAATAGCCTTCACAACGGCCAAATACCATCGCAACCTAAGGAGTCCGCCAAGCTTTTGGGCTTCCTCGAGCTGGGCGGAAGCATCAGGTGCAAAAAAGTCCATGGCAGCCAGGTCTGGCTCAGAATTGTCTTCTTCGTAGGCTGCATAGGAAGTGATCACACAGCTGCTGGGATTGCTAAACTCCAGGTCCACAGACTGGGATCCTTTGCTGCCAGTAGTGGCTAATCTGTTGGAGATCATGCCCTTGAGCTTGTCCAAAGATGCGTCCTGGCTGATATCTGCTTCGGCTGATTCCGGCACTTGGCACCATGTCCTGAGGTCGGCCTCGCTTTTGCTGGCAAGCAGCTGCTCCACTTGAGCAAGCAGCTCACGTGCACACTCACGTTGTCGATCCTTCTGCTTCTGTGGCTGTCGAGATGCGGCCATTAAGAAGCCGAAAGAAGAGCGGCTTTTGGAGCCGCTACCCGTCGCCAAAATGAGTACTGTCACGTTGGGATTGCTCGCTGGCCGCTGCGGTGGATCCATGGCCTCGAGCCAAAAAATGTTCCAAGCTTTGTGCGCTTGCACGTGTTGGAGTAACTTTTTGGTAGGATCTGGAGCCGTCTCTTTGGGTCTCTTGTCAAGTCGATCATTCCGATCTCGACCATCTCGGCCATCGCGCGGACGCTTCCTGTCGTCGCGGCGATTCGGGGACGGTGCTCGGTCGTTCCTTTCGTTTGGTCGGTCTGTTGGGGGACCCGGCGGGGGCGGGTAGGGAGCAGGATAACCCGGTGGGCCTGGTGGAGGTGGGTAGCCGTACGGCTGCGGGTAAGCATATGCTGGAGCCTGGTAAGCTGGGTATGCATGGGCATAGTGGCTGTAATCTGGTTGTGGTACCGGCGCAGGTGGTCTGGCTGGGTCGTTGTATTGGGCAGCAGGGGGTGCATATGCCTCGGCAGGCGGATATGCTGGATAGCCCGGCGCTGGCTGCGGGTGATAAGTTGGAGGGTAGCCAGCTGGAGCTGGAGCTGGAGTGGGCGGGTAGCTGCTTGCAGGAGGATAGGAAGCTGAAGCACTGTAGTCTGGAGCAGGTGCTGGTGCAGCCGGTGCAGCCTGCGCAGGCGGTTCAGACGGGGGATAGGCTTGTGGCTGAGGTGGATAGCCATAGTACTGTCGATAATAATCATAGTAGGGATCTGGCTGAGATGGAGGGGCGGCTTGGGGAGGTGGCTGCGAGTAATAGTCGGCAGCTGGAGCTGGGGCGGTTGCTGCAGGGGGTGCAGCAGGAGGAGCACCATCAGCTGGTCGAGCCTCCGGCCTTTCTTGACCGTAGCTTTGCTGCGGCGGGTATGCGTAAGCCTGCGGGTCATAGTTTGGAGGGTACGCCGCCGAAGTGGGATAAGCTGGATAGCTGGGTGGATAGGACATAGTCAGCCGCTTGCATCTGCGCTTTTGCTGGATCCAGTTTCCCCCCTTTCCACTGAAGGCTTGAGCATGCATGGCAATCGCGCATTCAACAAACCAAGAAAGCACTCTTACTGCAATGTGTATGTCTGTATACGTACATACATTTTAGCACTCGAACTCGGCAAAGCAGGCGAGGTAATGACATACATACATACATACATACATACATACATACATATATATACACACACATACATACATGTATGCATATATATATACATATGTATATATTATATGCATACATGTATATGCGCCCTGGCAGCATGGCATCGAGCTTGGGATTGAACACTGCGCTTTTGTGCTGAGGGCTCTCTGCCTCTCTGCCCAGGGAGACACATTTTGCACGAGGCACGGATTCTTCATTCACTCGGTGGTGTGCTTCAGCTTTCAACACATCAACCTGAAGTCAGAGAGCTTGGTGGCGCGTCTGCCCGACAAGCTCCACCTGCCTGGCAGTCCAGCTTCCACTCGCTGCCACAGCTGCAAGGTGCCATCCTGAAAGCATAACTTATCGACGACACTTCTCAAACCGTCTGCCCCGCATCGGTGATCGAAAGACACATAAAGATTGCATCGCCACATCGGGCCTCGAGTGGTGCAGCACATCTGTGCCACAGTGCCACAAGCGCAGCACCAAGTCACCAATTTCGAGCACATGAAGTGGATAACGCAGGCCGGTCCAAACCAACAGGAATGTGGTCTGTCCGTCGGTTGATGCGCACGATCCCACGAGACGCACAAGAAGCCGGCCAACAAGTTACCAGCACGGTCTAAGGGAAAAGCACACTGCTCTCAAGAATTGTGGTACCTAGTCTGGGCCACCTGCAAACTCAACGCCCAAGAAGCTTCGCATGACAGGAGCGCCAGAAAAAACCACGTCTGGGACAAAAACTCGCACCCACAGTGGGAGCCAAAGGGTCTTGACGAAGGCTACGCGCGCCCTGGATCAACGTGGTCTATGGTGTCGAACCCGCAGTGGAGGTTTTGCAGGTAACAGAGACAAATGCTATCATGCCTAGGAGTCGTGACATTTTAGTCTGCAGGCTTCAGAGCCTGCATGTAAGTTGACTTAAGTCGTAGTCCTGGTGTCGCATTCTCTCATACCTGCAGCTCTCATTTCAAATCCATCCTGGATGTATTGAGCATTGTGCCCTCATGCTAGTGCCTGAGAGCCGATGAGGAAAATCCCGTCATGCCCGGCGCAAAGTAGACTGTCAATCTTTTGACCTGGCACGGCCCACTAGAAAATTATGGCAGCAAGCACAAGAAATCACGGTAGGATCTTGTATAATGAGCTGCCAATCCTGATAGCAGCCTCTCGCCTCTGTAACATGTTCGAGCTATCAGTACCTGAATGATCCAGAATGTGCACATGCGCAGTCCAAACGAACCGAAGCAATGCAGTGAAGGGCGAACCCTGTAGACCCCACACCATGAATTCAACATAATTCAACCCTTGCAGCACGGCCTGGCAAAGCTTGGAACTCTGTCTTGAACTCAAAGGTTGGCAACACGATGGTGCTGACCTGCTCCAATCTCAGGGTCTGGAGGATAGTCTAAAGCGGAAGACTAGATCTTACCAGAGTTTGTAAAATTTACAACCGTCTGTCCGCAGCAACATAAGAAAACTCCAGCGGGGCCTGTCCACGAGCATGGGCACACAGCACTCGTGGCCCGGACTCCAAACCTGCCTCAGTCGTGCAGGACATGACCTGATCGCAAGTGCTCGCAACACCTGCTTGACTCGACATGTCTGTGAACACAGAGGGCCGGTATCCGTCTTCTCACCCAGCTGCGAGGCGCAGGATGGGTCCCGCTTCCAGTGCGGCTGTCTCAGACTTCAAGTTCCCCTCGCCATCGAAGATCTTCAAGTTGCCCTCTGCATAAGCCTTGAAGGTCAAAAAGGTTTTAGATGCGTCAGCAAGTCCAGCCGGAGAAACGAATGCAGGGACTTGCGGCAGGAACCGCGTGTGAGGGGGGAACAGGGGGGATTTGGCAGGGCACTCCTACCTTCCCTACACTCAGCCCTAGGCCATTTGGGGAGTGCTAACAGAAGAGCAGAATCAGTAGAAGCGGCAGGAGTGCAAGGCCTCCAACAGTAAATATAGTGGGAGAACGTCCGCAGGTGCAATCAATCGAAGTGCTGGAGCGAGGAGCTGCTGGATAATTAAGGCTACATCACGGTACTGCAGGGGCGTGGGGTGGGGGCGACACAAGCTTCACATTGCCGTCTGAATCACACTGAGGCCGGTGCCACGATGATGTGGCCTTGAAACTCCAGCATGTCCGCGACTGCCTTTGTGGGTGGCAAGAGCTTTGTGACCTGGCCAGGGTGCAAATTCTTCGAGTTTTGGCTGCATCCCAAGTCAAAGCATTCAACACGACATTCACTGAAGGTCCAGGATGTCCAGGTTTCGAGATGGCTTCTGTGGCTATGGGAGCGAAGTGCTTCACGCCCCCTGCTCGCCCGCATTCCTTTAAGACCTCCTGGTGTGTTTCCAGAAAGCCTGGATTCCAGGCCAAACGGCAGTTTGAAACCCAAAGACGCAAGACGGAAATGTACTTTGTTTCCAGGTAAAAGCTGCGCTGCTTCCCAGTACTCTACAAGCTCACAGCTCGGCTCCCGCATCCGGATCCTGACAGAATGCGGCAACATGGGCAGTAAGTTATGCTAGCGTAGCCAAAAGGACGAAAATCCAAGGGCCGCATGATTCAATATCTCAAGAGATGAGTAGGTAGAGCAATCTGATGCAATCTGATTGCTGTTGTGCCGGCAATGGTCTTTGAACATTGCTTTTCCGCAACAAGTAACGACGCTCGCGTTGCTTGGCCGAGTTTGATTGAAGAGGATCCACCGGAGAGCAGCGCTAACTCGTGCTCGACATGGGGAGCAAGTAAGCTGATGTTGCAGTCTTGTTGCAACCAAACGCTCAATCAGCATCGGGCCAAGCCTTCAGCGTGGCCAAGTCCAGCATCGCCAGGCCATATTGACCTCCGACCTTACCAGGGCTCGCTGCTTGGAAAACCTCCGCGGCTGCTGTCGGGATGTAGGTACTCTCGGCTTCATGCGAAAAGGAAGCTTCCAAGCACATGGAGCTTGCTGATGGAACCAGGCCTCAAAATGCATGTCGTTACCTCCTGCATTTTGCACATCTGTCATTTGTTTCCCTCTCAGCCGAGATGACGACAAGCTCTCTTCGAGCGTGTGGGTGCAATTGAACTTCTTGGTCGCTGGGTCCATTTGCCACAGCCGTACTTCTCGGTCGTAACTTCCCGACCTTTGATTATGTCATGCTGCATGTATGCACATGCACACGCTATTTCTTCGCTTCGCTTAAGGTTGAAAAGACCGTCAAGCTTTCGAGAGCCCGAAGACATACCCTTCACGCGGTAAGGAGGAGGAGGACGAGCGGAAGGGCACTTACCATGTTTACCTTCTCGGTCGTATTTGGTGGCATTCGACATCTTCGCATCCCCCCACACTTGTCAAAAAGCGAAAGCGACAAACAAATGGACCCTCGGGCAAACACAATGCCTCCGGACTGACGGAACACACCTGAAGATGTTGAAGCACGATGTCCAATGCTGTTCACACTGCATTTGTTCGATATGCAGCATACTGCGATCCTGCTTCACGGTCACTGATGACTGAGTCTCTAGCAAGAGGGTACAGCGGATTAATTCTGGACTTCCCATGTCCGTTCAATGCCCGTGCCACGATGCTGAAGCATTACCAATGCCAGCCCGCGGTTGTGGTCCCGGCGCAAGCTCGCGCGAAGAATCGAAACGCAAAGGTGCGTTGCCCGTCCCGTGATCGCGCGACATGGTACAGTCTCAATGTCAAGGAAAGGCTCACAGCCAGACTGACAGAAACACACGCTGGCATGACACACTCTGGAGGTTACTTTCTCTCTCTCTGGCTCCGAAGTTGCGTGTCTTCTTGTCTCATGGTACATAGTGATCCAGTCTGCCATGTACAAGCAGTGGGTCGGCTGCTACATCCATTCCAGTCCGCTAGCAGCTTGTCTGGCATGGCAAACGCGGCTGAGGTATGAATTAGTTCTTGCCTCGTCGTCTTGTAAAGTCGGGCAGTCCAATCAGGAAGCCCGAGCCTGTTTCTGGATCCTCTGAAAAACCACATGCTTGAGTCGGAAGAACCTCTGCAAGGGGTCCAGGGTCCAAGGAGTTCTTGACAAGTCAGGCAGGAAACTGTGAACACACGATCATGTAGCCCGGCTTGAAGACATGACTGCAAGTATCCTTGTTTAGCAAAATCAATGCTCCAAGCCATCTTTCGACCCGAAAGTCTCATGGCTTGGCTGCCGGCATGAGCACACCCTGATGTACAGCCAGAGTTGTGACCTCAAAAGCCACTAGTGAGTTCAGGTGAAGACAGACGTGGCGTCACGCGGCTCCGCAAGCTCCTGAGATACGAGCCCGCTTGGAGTGGCCTTGGAGGATCGCTTCTGTGCCATCCTGGGCGAAAGCCTGTACCTTTCGAGGTGCAAAACGAAGAAGGCTTGAAGAATTTGAAGACTACCATGAAACGGCAAAGCAGTTCGAGATTTTGAAACCATTGAAAGTTCACGGTCCCAACCTTCAACTGCCATGCCTTTGTAGAAGGCAGTAAGAAATAGTATATATCTTTCAGAGTGTTGGCTTTGCATGAAGTCTGGCCTTAATTTCAGATTCTGCTTCCACTGCATCGTTCCTTATGAAGGAAAGCAAGAGGCATGAAGATTGTCAGACTGTGCATGCATGGATCTGATTGTTGTTCTAGCTTCCCCAGCAGCCCCTGAATAATGAGGGTGCCTTTTTTCCTACTGTTTTTAGAGCTCAAAAGGGAACAATGCAAAATGTTATTACTGAGGAACCTAGTGATAGTGAGGAAACATACAATGAGTCTTAGTTGCAAGATCCATCTGTTGAAATGGCCGATGCGGGGCGAGTTCAGAGGCACAACAACTCTCAGTCACTAATTTCAACACGGCACGCTCTCCTTAATTGCCGCTCGAGGAATCGACTGCTCGAGAAAATCGACCCCTGGAGCGCGGTTCCAGAGTCTGAACCTTGCTTGCTTAGGTGCTTTCTGTCGCAGGCAGTCGGGCCTCCAACCTTGCTCGAAACATCAGTCAGTGATTTCGGCCCTGGCCAACTATTGGTCGAATGGAAACGTTTTCGAATGAAGCAGTTTAGTCGCTCTAGTCCTGATCTGAGGCTTTCGAAACACACGCAGCGTCACCGCCGCCACAAATTGCTGGCTAGAATTCGATGAATTCGTTCGTTGGCCCGTGAGCATGCCATTACCCTGCGACTGGCTCACTTCGCCTCCGGCCGTCCGACACAAAACTCTTTCGCGTTGCACACAACACATTCAAAAACTTGACACGGATTTCCTGGCCTGCAGCCGCAAATGCAAACCAACCTTGCAAGCCCAAACCAAACAAGTGCGCCCATCGCCATCCAGAGTGGACAGCCCGACCCGAGGGGCAAGTTGGGGTGATGCATCCTAATTAAGGCCTGCCCAAAACGGCTAGCGGGTCTCATGCTTTGCAGTCGGCCTGCCCATCCCAAAGGCCACAAAAGAGCCAGCCACCGCTGAAGAGCAACGATGTGGCCGACTCCTTGAGCTTCACCTCACTTCGTATGAACCATGACAACGCAAACGTTCTGCTCTGCTCTCGAAAGATGTTGCCAGGCCTGCAGCTCAGCCTCGAGTTCGTATTTGCCCGGGGAGCTCATCTTTGGCTTCCAGCGTTTCATCGTCTTGTCCTGGCTGACAGTGTAGATCCCCTGCTCGCTCATGGCCTCAGAGAAAGCAAACGAACAGCTGATATGATAACAGATGAGGGGCCAAACGACCCATCAAAATCAAGCGCATTCAACATTCATGAGCCTCCTGTGAGTCTGTTCCGTTCCTGCCCTGTGGGCTGTCATTCTCACGTCAGTTCTCTGAATTTTCTACTAGTAGAACATCTCCTTCAGCCACGGTACCATGGCTTGTATCGAGGATCCGTGCGCACCGGTGATCTCGCAATGCCGGCCGATGGCATCGGCATCCACCCGCACAACTGCGGGCTTTCCTCGGGGCCGCCACTCCTTGCCATGCTTGCCCTTGCCCTCGCCCTTGCCTTTGCCTCAGTCATTCGAGAAGCAACAGTTACAACTCTGCCTTCACATCGACATGTTTAAGCAGCCGTGTTTCCCCAGGAGCCACCGCGGCGAGACTTCAAGGCCTCATCGGATCGCAGCACTGTGTAGCAACATATGACCTATGTCACCCCCATCTTCTTGCTCTGTCTCGCAAGCCCAGTCATCGGTATCTACTTCCAGGGCTCAGGTGGTTCTATTCACACAGAAATTCCACAGGGCCAGGGGCAGAAACACGGACAAGGAAGCAAGTTTTTCGTGCCGCAGTTCTGACCGCTATCCCATTTGGATTTCGACAAGAGCCAGCATTTAAGACACAGCAGGGAGAAGTGATAAAAGGACAGGGAGGGATGGAAGGTCCTTGCCTTGCACACTTGATCTTCCTGTCAATGTCAACTTCTCCCCACCTTCTCTAAGACTGCAAGCCTTCAACCCGCCCCAGATGCCGAAACAATTTGGATGCGGTCGTAATATTTTTGTAATTTTCCCGTCGCGGTATGATGGCTTAGCTACTGCTGCTCCTACTACTCCTACTCCTTCTCCTAGTGCTGAGGCTGCTGCTGCTATACGATCAAAACAACACCCAGAGTCCCGAACACCGCGGAAAACACATTTGATGCGGTCCAACGGGTTTTTGTGCCAAGTGACTCGCGCCCTGACTTTGCCGAAAATCCGGCAAATGCTTGCGACAGCGTGTCTTGCTCCAGAAACGTCAGACGTCTGTAGGTATTGTAGAGGACAAAAAAGCAACGACTCTGTCAACACCTCTGTTTAGTTTTGGTATGCTCGCAGTAGGAACCGGCGCTGCAAGTGCACATCTTGTTCTAGAAACATGAAGCAGCGTCCAAAAGCGCAGAAACAGCGGAGATACCAGTGCTTGGAGCATGCTTGCAAAATGAACGGGCGTTCTCAATACCCACCGCCTCGCGGCTCACCTCCACCCCTCCCCCCACCCCTCACCTCCCCACAAACAGTGTTCAGCGATCAGACAGGCGGGTGTTGCGTACTACTGCCACTGCCACTGCCACTGCTACTACTACTAC